GAGCCCACTTCGGATTCTGTGTCTCCCTGTTTCTCTGCTCCTGCCCCACTCACACTCTGTCTTTCTCTCTTTCTAAAATAAATAAACATTTAAAAGAAAAAAAAGTGTAGTTCTAGATTTTACATTTAGGTTTATGACACATTTTTACTTAATTTTTCTAATTAGACTGAGATGTGAATCAGAATTATTATTGTTGTTGTTGTTGTTGTTGTTGTTATTATTTTAGGTAAGCTCCACACCCAGTGTGGGGCTTGAACTCAGAATCCTGAGGTTAAGAGTCACGTGTTCCATCAACCAAGCCAGCCAGGATGCCCTGAATCAAAATAAATTTTTTGCATATATAGACACGGGTACACACACACACACACACACACACACACACACTCACTCACTACTTGTCCCATCAGCATTTCTCCACAGAATTGTTTTTGTGTTTTTGCTGAAAACAAGTTGTCCAGTTATATATGGGTCTATTCCCGTACTCTGTTGTGTTCCATCGGTCTGTTTTTCTGTTTTCATGCCAGTGCAGGATTACAGTTACTGTAAGGCAGTGTGAAAGGCAGAAGCATTGGGTCCCTTAGTTATTCCTCTCCTAACCTGCTTTCCTGTGATAGCTTGTTGATTTGTCTCCTGCACCCCCACTAAACAGCCTAAGTTCAGGGATCCTTTCTTATGTATTTCTAATGGGTGGCAAAGTGTCTGGTACAGAGTAGGTTTCTTCTTTTTTAATTAGGAATTATTATTTCAAAAAAAAAAGTTTTTAAATGTTTATTTATTTTGGAGAGAGAGAGGAGTACTCTCTCTCAGAGTATGAGCAGGGGAGGGGCAGAGAGAGAGGGAGACACAGAATCTGAAGCAGGCTCTGTCAGCACACATCCCGATGTGGGGCCTGAACCCACGAACCTGGAATCATGACCTGAGCCAAGATTGGACGCTTAGCCGACTGAGCCACCCAGGTGCCCCATGAATTTGGAATTGTTTTTGAATGCTGTATTGGTTATTTTGTTTGTAAATTCCTACACAGACAGTCTCCTTACTAAAAAGTTCAGTTCCTGAAGGTGTGTTCAGAAGGCTAGAGTAGGGGCTAGTGTCACCATGTCCGGACAGAGTTAAGTTTTGAAAGAGCTGTATGTTTTGTTTCTTTCTAGTTTTTCACTTCTTACAGTCGCTATAAACACTCTCACTTCATTTGCACTTAAGGGAAGAGATGGAATCAGTGTTCGTAAAACCATTCGAAAATAAGTGCAAATGCAATACAGAAAGCCAACAAAGGACTTGACAAACCAAAATGACAGAACACAGCCGGAAACGCTCTTTGATGGTGACAGGCCGAGGCGCTTTTTCTTACTTCCTTCCCCTGGCTTCTTTGTTATTTCTTTGCAAGTCCCTGAGATCAGATAGCTTACAGAAGAGGCTGTTTCCGCTTTACCCCTCTTTCCCACATTACATACACATGGGCTTGTGCAGACACACATGCCACAGATGCTTTGTAAGTGATAGGCTGCTTTCAGATTAGTTTGGTTGGAAAAATCAGATGGAGACTCTCTTTCTAAAACCCATTTCATGCAAGGCAGGCAAATTGTGCCCTCATTTTCTATTGTCTCTGGCTCCATCTGTAATCAGCAAATGCAGCCCCGCCGCTGAGACAGTGCTTCATCTGCAGTTTGTCGCTCTCCCCTAGTCTGCACAACACTGAACCATCTCATTTTGAAATTCAGGAGTGGCAGAAGAAGGCTTTGGTGAGAGATTATAATTTGAGAGCAGGGAAAGTCAAGAGCAAGATCACCTGTTTTGTGGAAGCCTGGGTGTTGAAGGAAATAGTCGGTCTCCTGAGCCTCTCCGTGTGTGTGCCACTGTGACCCTCCCCTCCATCGCCAATGACCTAAAAATCACATAATTTCAACTACTCATGAAACCTATTCCCATCTGTTATGCGTGGCTTGTGTGCTTACCCCCTCGATTGCCAGCAAATATGTCTAAATCTTTTTACTTCCTAGCCAGCCTTCTGTTGTTGGCTGGCTGGCTTTCTTGCTTGCTTCCCTGATTGTCAAATGAATGCCTTAAAACATTTTCTTCCAGACATCTTCCTTATTCTTCCGACCTCCCTACTCTCCCTCCCAGTGTTTGTCTGCTAAATGCTTCCTCTGCCAAGTATGGGACACAGTCACCTTGTTTTCCAAAAGCACTGCAGGTCATTTGGATGGACACTAATTTTCTCTGGGAATTGCTAGCCTGCATCTGGTAGACAAGTGAGCCGACTGGCCTTTGAAAGTCATCATTCGTTGAGGGTAAAGATTTATTCTATAAACCACACAGTTTCATTCCCAAATTGTAGCGGTGCTTTGTAGACCACCCAGGTTTCTTTCAGGAAATTCTTAAATTAGTTGCTCATAGTTTGTTGGTGAATGGATATATGCACACATACACACGCATATAATCATGTGCATAGCTCTTCAGAATGTTGTAAGGTGAGTAATTTATAATCAGTCTTTTTGTCTTTGATTCTTGTCGCTCATAGTGGACATTTTTTTGTCATTTTTCCTCCAAGACATTCAGTGAGACATTACATGATTATTTTACTTTATACATGGTAAGTAGCCAGTAAAATGTTTACAGAGGGAAAGAATAAACAGCAGCCTGGTTTATTCAAGAATTATACCAAAGTGTCTATGCAGCAATTTATAAATAAAATGATATCTTTGAGAGAATAAAGGTAATTTCTCATCTTTGGAAATATAAACTGCTTATATAATAAAAACCTTTTAAAGACTCTTGATTTCTTACCTCTTAAACCACCACCTTTACACACCCTTTGATTCTTTCTCACCTCCTCTTCCCCCACCAACACCCTCCAGAGTTGAAAATCTCAATATTAATTGGAACTAAGATGATTGTACTTGCTGCTGCTAAGACTTCGGCAGGTCTCTTACAAGCTAATGTCACGGCATGGGGTCCATTTGCTCTGTGTAGCTATTCTGTGGTGCGGTGAGAATGCCTTGATTAATATGCTACATGAAAATAAAATGGATTTGGAAAAAATTATACCATACTCTCATAAATATTAATTCACATTTGTATGGAATTGCACGTAATTTTCAATATACTTTGGAGCACCTTCCGTATGAAAGGAGATTTGGTCTCCAAAGAGAATGGCATAATTTTTTTTAAAAGCGCAGTTGATACATTATTAAGTATCATTTGTTTATTAATCTGATACTCTACATGCATATAATGTGGGCAGTAGGTGGGTTGTGTGACAAAGAGAGGAGTTTTTTTTTTTTTTTTTTAACCCCGTGGGGAGTTGCTACATTACTCTTAGCAGAAATAGTACAACTGAGTACATTGCTTAGAAGCAGTCCACGATGCAACTCACCTGGCTGCTTCTGCTAGCATTGCGTCATTCCTGAGTATCTTTTCATGATAACTGACTGTTTTGGTTGCATGTGATGTTAAACGCAGCGTAGTTTGAGCTGAGCAGATGTCTGACATAGCTGACTGTGGTAGTGGACGCTGGAGAAAGGAATAAATACAGCAGACATTTATTGAACACTTACCATGTGTTAGGCATAGTGTACAAGGTTCTGAGACTGTGGAATCAATGCCCATGTGATCACTTCGATCCCAACTTGTCCCCTAAACACTGACCACCACATCCTCGTTGGCCCGGAGAGCTGCCTCTTCAATGGCAGAGGGTAAATCATCTGCACTGACAGCAGCTAGAAGTTAGACCAGAAGCCACTCATTTGCCTTATGAGATTGGTATTTTTGATGTCTTCTTGCTCCAGGGATAAGGCCTTTTACCCCTTCTGGGGTTTCTTGCTGTTTGCTGTGATCTTGTTTCAGCGATGCCTGCTAGGTTCCTTGGTTCCCTGTTTCAGTGAACTTTTCCAGTTTGCTTCACTCTGTGGTAGTGCCAGCTTGGGGTGTTGTTAACTCACTGTTGTGGCTTAATAGGTTTGGATAGTTTAACCAGTTGTCTCACTTATTTATCTAGCAAACATGAACATATATACCACCTGTTATTTGCCTGACTCTCTATGTGAAGCATTGGGGTTACTGAGATGAATGGTAACTTAGTCTGTGCCCTGATTCTTTTAAGGGGTCATGCTGCCAGCTGCCTCAGGGCCTTGGCATAAGCTGTTCTCTCTGCTCAGACTTTCAGAACTAGGTCAAATGGTAGCCATCTCCTCAGCACCAACCCACTCTGCTGGATGAGACCATTTCCCCCAATTTTAGCTCCTTTTTCCTTTCCTTTAGAGCAGATAGTTCAGTTTGCAGTGAACTATTTGTGTGATTTGATTAGTATTTGTCCCTAAATTTTAAGCTCCATGAGGTGGGGGATTTTTTCCACACAGGATTGTTTACCCAGTGCCTCTGGGACAATGCCAAGTTTGTACCTGGTATGGACTGGGTGCACACAGAATACTTGTTGAATGTGTGATGGCTTGAGAACAGCACTTTGCATTATAAGAAAGGTCTTCCTGAATGGGCAGCCCTGGTAAGAGTCCTTTAGGAAATGGGTGTGTGTGTGGACAGCAGGGCTTTGAGGCAGATGTAAAGGCCCCAGGTTCCGTACTCATTAGTATCAGCCCTGGCTGATCTGGGGAAAGAGCTTGAGGAACAGCGTGTATGTCAAATGGGCAGTGCTGGATATTGGGAAGCAGTAGGATAGAGAACTCCCCAGGGACAGAAGACTGTAAAGGAGGAGAGAGGGGGAAGGGGTAGGGGAGGTGGGAGAAGGGAAGGGGAAGAGAGAGAGAGAGGTATTTTTAAGGAGAAGGTAAAGGGAAACTTCCCTTTTAGTTATTGTTTGTTTTAATGTACATTTGTTTAGGACCACGGAAACAATTCATTTGTATGGGAGGTGAGGCTCCATGAAGGAGCATTGTTGTGTAAATAGGATCATGTCTACTCATTTACAAGTGACTGAGTGCTAAGTCTCTTTTAATTTCAGTGCTTAATGTGTACAACATTTCTTAGGGTTCAAAGGACATTCACTCATGTCGTACCAGTGGAGTACTTCAAGTGTCCTAAGGAATAATGGCAGTGTCAGGCCGTGGACCCAGGTCTTTTAGTATTTCAGTAGATTCTGAGCTGTCTGCAGGCCCAGAGCTCGCTAGATCTCATAGCCTCAAGTGCCCGCCTCTAGGCTCTACAGATGCTGCTTGCTATTCCAGGACATCCATTACCCTTCTCCTACCCTTTCTACCCGCCCTGCCCAACCACACACAACAATAAATGAAAAGTTGCTGTAGATCTTGGTGATAATATTGTTGTTACATTTTGCAGAGAACCGGGAATTAAGGATGCTCGGAGGAACTTGTGGTAAAAATATATAATGCATTGAGGAAACATTTTAATCATATGAATTGATAGTTTCTTTCTTGCTGGCTCATGTCCACCTGGCCTGGTATAGTCGGTCTTTTTTTTTTTTTTTTTTTTTTTTATCACGCATGCACTTAGTACTTCTTTTCTGAAACATAATTGACGTACCTACTTGGAAAGTGACTGTATTGAGCCTCCTTGGGGAATGTCATTGTGTGCTGGACCTAGCTGAGAATCACACTGAAAGCCACTAAGCAGTGAAATCACTTTTAATGGACAGATGCTTTGTGCTTTGTTGACTTTTCTGCCCAACCAGAATAGAAAGGATCTATTTGTGGTGGCATTAGGGATTCAGAAAAATTGAGAGCCATGTTTCTCAGTTTTAGGTATTCTCATATCCTGCTTTCCTGCTTTCTCCTCTCCCTTCTTATAACCCCATTTAGCCTGTGTTTTGGATGTGACCTTAGACACCTGTGTAACCATCATTTCCCTTTCCTTCTCTTCTTTTCTATAGAAAGATGTAGCACTTAAGCCTCAGGAACGTGTGGAGAAACGCCAGACCCCTCTGACCAAGAAGAAACGAGAAGCACTTACTAACGGTCTGGCCTTTCATTCTAAGAAGAGTAGACTCAGCCACCCACATCATTACAGCTCCGACCGAGAGAACGACCGCAACCTCTGCCAGCACCTTGGGAAGAGGAAGAAGATGCCGAAGGGACTCAGACAGGTGAGGAAGTGTGGGTTTGTCCTGTTCTGTGGCTAGAAGATCCCTGCTTCAGATACCTGCCCCTCTGTGGTTCTTCCTGACAGGTGGAGAAGATGTCCTCGTTGGGCTGCTGGAGGGTTGCCCCTCAGAGTTGTGTAAACAAGCCAAGCTCAGAGTTTTTATTACTTTTGAAACTTCAGCGTTGGTATCCTTGTCGTCAGATGTGTTCACTGCAACAAAGCTTGATGCTGGTGCTACTGGTGTGTGGGGCAGACTGGCTGGCAGGGCAGAGATCTTCATAATTGGGACCAATGGAACGGGCATGTGTGATCACATACATTGTGGATTTCAAGGTTCTGAGGTGTTCAAAATGTTTGTCCACACGCAGGCAGTGCCTTGCATCAGATTTCTGCTTTCCAGAGCAGCTCAAGTATTGTGGCATGTGGGAGAGCAGTGGCGAAGAAACGAAATTGCCTTTCAGTTCTTCAGCTGTTCTCATAGTCCATAATTCAGGACTGTCTTTGTGATCTGCTGATTGTATGAAAGTCTGGTGATAGGGCCTACTGGTCTGTTAATAATTAGGTTTCAGTGATCCACAAGAAAATATAGCTCTTGGCATTTGGGGAGCCTTTCTGCCTGTGGAAATCCCCACATGAGATAGATTAATAATGAGAAACGAAGCTGTTTATAGCAATTTTTTCTGCACAAATCCAGAGGCTTTAGTGCCAGCTGAGTTACCTGTGTCCTGGGTGTGTTTTGTTTGTTTTTGGCGGGACCACTGGGTGGGATTGACTATCACTTGAAGGAAGCAGAGGAAGGGAATGTGGTTCACAGAGCAGGTGCTGCTAATTAGAAGGCAAACAGGTAATTTCCAGTTTGCAGATGTTTCTTTGCAGAGGGAGAAATCCGGGATCTTATAAAACAGTGGTTCCAAAGCTTCACAGATCATTAGAATCATATTATGAGTGTTAGTAAACACACACTTCTGGCCCCTCCTTAGGACCTAATCTCTAGGGGGCAAGGCACAGAACTTGGTGGTCTTAGAAATTTCCTATGTGATAACAGCCAGGCCAGTTTGGAAATCATTCTTCTAAAGCATCAAGAGTGAATTTTTGGTGGTGATTTTTAGTGAAAAGATTGGAAAGAGCAAAAGGCTCAATATGATGTAGCCTCTGCAATTAGACCTGGGGTCACAGTTCAGCCTGATGGGTAATGAGAGAGGTATATTGCCGAGAAAACATCTAAAGTGATGGATGTCAGTCAGCGTGGATGCAGAAGGATCTCAGGGAAGCGTCCCCACATCTGACACACAGGGAATGTTTTCTGAAGGCACATATGTGTCCTGAAATGAAATGCCAGAATGGTGTTGTAATAGTGACTATTAACACTTATCTGATGCATACCATGTTACAGTCATTAACAAGGGAGTATGATCTGTCATTCTCACAATGACCCCGGGTAGTGGGTGATAAGATGTTTACTTTCCAGATGGGGAAACTGGATCTCAAAGAGGTAAAGTGACTTATCTCAGGGCTCTCACAATGAGATATGAGCCAGGGTTTAGACCCAGATTTCTTTGTATTGCTCTATTTTCCCTGTATATTCTGCCTCCTTTGTTTGAGATTAGGATTGTGCATGAAGAGAAAGAGAACTCCAGGTCACAGGTTGGAGGGGGTCTTACAAGTATTTCTAGGAACTATGTGAGTAGTTAAGTCATAGGGAGTGACTTTGGTTATAGAAATGGTGTATGAAGGCATAAGAAGAAACATGATAAACTACCAAGTTCAGAGGGCAGAGAAAGAGCTGGAAAGCTTGAACGCAACCACATTTGTATAAAGATTTCTTTTTTTTATTTTAAAAATAATTGTTTGTGGAAAGAGTGGAGTGAGGGAGGAAGGGCTAGGGTCTATAAAAGGTGATATTCCTGTGGTATATGTGGCTCCCAACCCACGCTTCTCTGTATGAGGTATGTGAGAAAGGTCATTCTTCCCGCTGGAGAGAGGCTGCATTGTGACCACTACCACTCCCCCAGGCCCTCCCTCCCAACAGGGTTGGAGGAAGGCTTCCTACCTTCCAGACAAGAAACCAATTTAATCCTGAGTCTACAGTAAACTCTGGTTCCTCATCCTTGACTCTCTAATCCCAGACTTCATTTGACTTTTCCACTCTCTGTGCTCAAAATTCTTTCTGCCTTGTCCTCGTGTGATCATCAAAGAAGGCCAGGACTTGTATGTCTCAGATTCAGGTAGCTTTTGGTTCTAATGGTCATCCTTCTGGTACAAAATGGCACTTGAAATCAAAGCTATCCTTCTTTTAGGCAAAATATTTGAAAAGCAATTATTTTGACTCACTCCTTATGAATCATGGAGAAGGAAAGAATGAATCGTACCTTTCTGGTCAATGTAAGAGTTTTCAAAACAAGTGGTGTTTTTCTTATCTTCAGTGTTGATGCCAAAATATACTCCCCAAATCGAGTGTTGTGTTTCTAGTAGGAAGGGAAGCAGAAGTTGATAACTAAAATAAAGCTCTAATACTTTTCAGTTGTAGTCTTCCTAGAATCACATGTACTATTTTGAAACCTTGAACAAATCGCTGTGTGTTGCTGGAAGGTGAGGGGTTTGGCCTAGGTGATTTCTCAAGCTCCTCTCTCTGAGTTCTATGGTTCTTTAAATTGATGAACAACACAGAGACACATAATGTTTTCAAGGTCTATAAAGGAAGACTGCAGGAGGTCTGAGTGTATTTCAGTTCGGAGTCTCTAGTTGATAATTGTGTGAAGACATTTAAAAGAGAAAAGTAGGAGGCAGAGGCATGGCTACGTGTGTGTTGCCCAGACAGGTGCTCTCTGTTGTGTGATCATTGGTAAAAGATGACACACACAGGTGCTTAAGGGCCACAGCACATGCTCAAAAGCTTGTGCTAACGGTACTGGACATTGCTTTCCTGTTGTGCTAAATGCATGGACACATCACAGTTACTTTTTCCCTTGCCTTTGCCTCCTACCAGATAAAGTAGCTGAATCTGACCATCTTAACTGGGAGGGGGCCTTGAGATGAGAATGTCCTTGAGGAGAATTTCAAAATTAATGGATTGTTGCTTAGTGCCTCTTACTGAGGGAGTTATAATCGGAAGAACTACAGAGGAAAGAGGGCCGTAGGAGGTGAGAATTTCGTCTTTATTTTTGACTTGGTGAGAGTGGATTAGGTTTGCATCTTATTAGGAAATGGTACTTCCTGAGCAGGCACCTTAATGCACAGCTTTCCTGTAATTATGGGAAGATGTTACTCCTTCATGGAGAGGAAATAATAAGATTTTTTTTTTTTTTCTGAGAATCCGTTGAAGGCAACTAATCTTTTTACCAGGAGAGTGCAATTATATACTTTTATAAGAGAGATGCATAGTTCTAAAATCAAGCTGTTTTTTCCTTCTCTTGCCTGATTATGAAACCTCAATTCTTGTGGTATTTTCTCATACTGGGAAAAGAAAGCTTTTTAACTGGCACTTAACCACCCCAGTGGAACTAACTTGTTGGATTATGTTGTTAAGTATAAATACATACTCACGTAGAGGAGGCTGTGCTGGCAGCTGTCTTTTAAAATGGCTGCACCTTTTTATATGGCAGGTTTGAACATTCTCCTTAATTTCCAAAGGGGGTTTTAAAAAGGAAAAGAGGAATAAATTAACTTTTACAAAAGAATGCACGTCTTTCTGACCCCCGAGCCTTATATATATCCTGCACAGAACTATTTGCTCATGATGGGAACATTCAGACATTATATTTAAACAGTTTTAGCTTTTAATTTTTAACTAGTACTTTTAAAAAAGTACTAGTAAAGATGTGTGGTAGAGTTTTTGTCCCCCTCTTTACTTAGACTTGGGACTGGGAAACCAGAACAGAGGCTGCCCAGGTTGTCTGTGTAAGGAGCCTGATTCTCTACCTGCCAGACTAAGTCACAGTGAAACTGCTAAGGGACGCAATGAAGTGACCCACGGCCAAACCCTCTAGCCAACTTAGGACTTCCTCAGAAGCATTTTTGGAAAATGTAACTCTTCCCAGGGCGTTGAATTTTCTTTCAGTATATCTCACTTCTAGACCACAGGAGAGGATTTAAAATTTTACTACTTAGTAGTTGAAAACACAGAGAGCAAAGGAGTTTTAAAAATAGAGAGGCAATGAGGAAAAGTTAATGGGAGTTAGGAGAACTCTCAGATTTGGCTCAGAATCGGTGTTCCTGAACTTCCATTTAGTCCATTAGCCTGCCTTTTCTCTCTCTAGTAGGAACTGAACCAGAGGAAAGAGGCTTAAATGAACTAGGAGGAATTTTTAGGCCATATGAACTCTTACAACAAACAGATACCAGAATGGATCACCAAAATAAACCACAGAGTCTCCCTCCTAACTGAATTTCAGTTTCTAAAAAGGCATTCAGCTAAGGATGGGATTTCTGAGACAAAGAGGCAACCTACTGAGATTGCTTCTCGCCACAGGAGGATACCATTTGAGAGGGAAGTAAAGGGATTTGGGAATATTTCAGGAGCCTAGCAGGTAGACTCTAACTTTGCTGATGAGAATGGCTTGTGTGGCTTAAAAATCTTTATACAAGTTGATATGGGTGCTTGTAAGGAGTGGAAGTTGGGTCCTCTCTTTGAGAATCTAGTATGGTGGAATCAGACTATGTGGAGAATTTAGAGCTGACACTGTAGATACCAAAAATGTATTCTGATGTCTAGGAAGAAGAGGGACTGATCCCGGTGCCGAGTCTTTAAAGTTAGAGCCGTTGTGGTTGCATCGGCTTTTTGTATTGCCTTTGCATGTTGGCCTTATGTGGAATAAGGTGGCTGTGTTGGTGGCACAGAAGGGCCCAGGTGACCGAGCCATCAGCCGTGCTTCCATCCATCTTGCTAGAGAGGTCTGTCTCTGCCCATGCTCGGTCCCGATGAGAGCGTTCGCTGTCGGAAGCTGATCCTTTATTTCAGTGTGACTGACTCAGGTTGTGTGACGACTGCTTTGTGACATTGTT